CAGGGCGGACGCTACGGCAATGCTCTCCAGGCTGCTTCATCCGGGGGTCACGAGAAGGTGGTTCAGATATTACTTAGAAATAAGGCCGTGAAGCGTTCTACATCCCAGGCTAGAATCGGTGGAACTAAGGAGGGGGTGGTGGCCAAGAAGCCGAAAGCTGCCGATGCTGGGTTGCCGAGTACGCACGTAGGAGCGGAAGAGGAGTCGGTTAACGTCAACAAGGACGACTAGGACAGAGTAGCAGTGGGTTGTTGGCAGTTTGATTGGAGGGAGAGGGGTTGTTCGAGCATACTCACTGTTTTCTGTTCTTCTTGCACAGCGAGGCGGTAAAAAACTATCCGATTATAAAAACCTTAGGCACCAACTTCACCTTCCATAAACACTGAAACTTTACTCATCGATGTCCAACCCTTCATTGGCACTCACTCTCGGAAGATCAGTTCCACGGCGTTGCTGTCGAATATCCGAAAGGCGCAGTACTGCAGCTAGTCGTCGCGTAGGCTGGTTGCACCGAGTGGGGACTTCTGGCTGGGGCAGGCTCTAATGACGCGGGCGTCAAGCAGCGTGGTATCTCTTATGCAATTGGATTAAGAGACGTCAGCAGCGATTTCTGTAGGTAGGTTGCAGTGGCAGTGGTTGCGGTGATAGCGGTGGTTGGTTCGTCGCTCGAACTGACATTGCGTTTCTGGTCTGCCCGGGCGCTGTCGGAGCTGTCATCACTCGTCGAAGATATGTCGGCTTAGTCAGCGCGCCACGGACCTTGAATCAAGTGGCGATAGGGTGACCCCGCCGACTACACCAAGCCCCACCCGCATCCAACCGTGAACCCACCAGCCAAGAATAAACACCTGGCAAATGCACTAAACTAGCCGTTTAAACGGCCCCGAATACCCAGGAAAAGCGAGGCCTTAAGGACGGCCGCAGCACTCGCGTGGGTACAGAGGCAGAGGCAAAGGATAGCGTCCCTCAGGCAAAGCCCGACGCAGCCCCCTAACTTCAGCACTAAGCCGGTATCGATCCGGGAGTCAAACCCACTCGGGATTCCAGTCGTAGTTGGTCTCCTCTCTCTTCAACAAACTGCCACCTTTCTGCTTAGGCCGGTTGGCCAGCGCGCTGGATTCCAAAATGCCAGACCCACGCTGCACACGCGATCAATCAGTACTGCTATTCGACGGAGAGCAGGATGAAGAGACGACATGCGGGTTCTTGGCCGAGCCAATGTTGGGCTGCGCACGAGAGCCACGGATTGAGCAGCTCAGTGCAGTAGCTTCTCCCCACAGGCAGCACGCGCATATGCCGCTGAAGAGAGCCGAGGCGGCGTGGATGGATGAGGACGGGTGAAGCTGGCGACACTCCTAGAACGAGCCGTTGCCAGCGGTGTAGTTGGTGCAAGGAGTCTTGACCGGGACAGCACCACGCGAGCACTGGGCGAGCAAGGCCGGAAACCGACTGGGCGGGTCGTCCAGCATGACAACCGCGGTTGAGCACCTCGAGCGGAACACGGGTGGATTGGCGATGGCGCAGTTGGGCTCGATCGGGCTGTTCTCGCTGTCGACAAGAAGCCAGGGCGCCAGCCAAGTGTTGTCACGGAATGCGGAGACGCCGTGGTTGTTCCGTCTGAAAGTCCCGGTCGGCGTAGTTGAGAGACACGTGGTCTGCGCGGATGATGGTAACCTCGTCGTATAGGGCTACTACAACGTCAGCTTCACTCCAGCAGGTAAGACGAGGTGAGGCACGCAAAAGCTGAGCGCGGGCCAAGTGTTACCCCAGTCGGACCGGCTGCTCGACAGCCTGGACGACTGCAACGGCCAGCGCAGTCAGCAAAGAACAATCGCCATTCAAACCGTCAGAGACGCTTTCCTCCGTGGATGCCGCCGGCAGTGTTGGACGTTGGCGAGGACATGTCGGACAAATTGTCGCGCGCGAAGGTGTAGGACCCTGACGGTCACCCACAAGGCCCGTGCGCAGCATGCCTGGCTGTCGCCGCCGCTACTACTGCTACTGCTGCTGCTGATTGTGTATTTCCTTTCCTCTCCCGACTGCATCTCGTCCACAGCAAGTACCTTGTTGAGGCATCCAACATGGGCTTCTCCAGCTCCAGCGGAAATTTCGATGTTCTGCTGCGCAGCGGACGATAGCAGGGATCGTTCCCTGTTAGCCAATGCCTTCCGCAGCCTCTACCCGAAGAATCGAAACTGCTGTCCCTTAGCGCATCCTTGCTGTATCACCCAACTTTTTTCTATCTGCGCCTCAGCATTGGCGTATAGTTCCTGCAATTTCGAGGCGCACCTACTATCTTGCAGAACCTCTACCAGCGTGTGCGCAGACCACAGCAGGCCCAAGAATTTTATCGGTAGTAAGATGTAGGCGGTGCACAGCGGTGAGCCGAAATTGTGCAATAGTAGGAACGGCGTTGTTAAGTTTGGCTCGCTAGCCAGTATCTTTTAGTGCTCCTTGGAGACTTCTAGCGTCTTGCTTGGGACGCGGTTTGAGCGGATAAGAGAGATGGCCGATCTCAACCGGGCCGTCGAAGTTGCCGACGACGCTGTCGAAACCACTCCTTTCGACCACCGAGATTGTGCTAGTTGGCTAAGCAACCTTGGAGGCTGGCTTGGAAGGCGGTTTGAGCAGACGGTAGATATGGCCGACTTTGAATCATCGCTTGCTTCATACAGACAAGGCTGGGATTGTCGCACCGCTCCACCATCTATTCATATCGACCTAGCTCGCCGAGCAGCCTCTCTTCTTGCCTCTCAGTTGGAGTGGGAAGAATCGAGCAAGTATCTCAACGATGCCGTAATGCTTCTTCCAACTGTAAGCACGCGGCTCTTACAGCACACCGACAAGCAACACATGCTTAAAGGTTTTGCTGACTTGACTTCTGCAGCCGCTGCCACCGCTCTGAACTCAGGAAAAGAGGCACACAAAGCCCTGGAACTGCTCGAGCTCGGTCGTGGTGCTATTGCCGGCCTCATGTTAGATATGCGCACGGACGTCTCAGATCTAAGACTACAGCATCCTGTTCTGGCAGACGAGTTCGTGTTGCTTCGGAACGAATTAGACTCACCTACTAAGGAAACGGCTCTTCCGACACCTGATCACGACACCCAATCCCAGGAATCGCAGGCGAGGAGACGGCGTGAAGCGAATCAGAGATTTGAAGAGCTCATCGGGGAGGTTCGCAGTCAGCCTGGCTTCCAGAGGTTTCTCCTGCCGCCCACTGCAGATGAGCTTATGGCCGCTGCGCAGGAAGGGCCGATCGTTGTCGTGAATGTAAGCCCTTACCGCTGTGATGCATTTCTTATCGAGCGACATCAAATCAGGGCCTTACCTCTACTTGGACTCAATCTAGAAGACCTGGAAAGAAGCTGCAAGAACTACGACGAGACCGAGGCTCACCCACGTCTTCTAGCCAGATGGAAGCGATACTCGAGTGGCTCTGGAAAGTTGTTACGCGTCCTGTCCTCGAGGCATTGGCCTTTCAGAACCCTATCCAGGACGACAAATGGCCTCGTATCTGGTGGATCCCGACGGGGCTACTAAGCCACTTCCCGCTTCATGCCGCAGGATGCCACATGAATGGGTCTACTGAGACGGTCCTTGACAGGGTCATGTCATCGTACAGCCCCTCAATCAAAGCGTTAGTTTATGGACGTCAGCACAGCAAGAACACGTCAGAGCACATAGTATTGGAAGGTGCCCTCTTGGTTTCCATGCCAGACACGCCTGGCCAGTAGAGCCTCTACTTTGCCAAGCAGGAGGTGGGCAAACTAAAGCAGCCCTGCCCATCGATGCAGCTGAATCCTGTCTAGCCATCACAGAAGAGCCGGGAAGACGATTTAGAATGCCTGCGCACATCCAAGATCTTCCACTTTGCCGGTCACGGGCACTCATACCCTGCCGAGCCTTCGCAAAGCAGCTTGCTCCTCAGCGACTGGTAGACAAGTCCCTGACTGTGGCAGATATCCGAGACCAGAGGCTACAAGAGAAATCACCGTTCCTAGGCTACCAGGCAGTGTGTCGAGGGCTGCATCAGGCGCTTCGGGCACTTCGAGATGGGGACATGGCACAGAGGAATACGATGGGCGTAGGGAGTGCTGCTGTAAGTGTTGAGATTGCTCATCCGCACAGTGACAATGATAGCACCAGGCTGGGGCGGGATGCTATACTGTATGATGATGAGGGCCGTGAAACAAGGCAGAGGAGTCCGCTGTACTGGGTTCCGTACATTCACTTTGGCGTTTGATTTTCACTGCGCTGGTGCTTCTGTTTCATTCTATTCGAACTCTATTGGTACCTTGATTAGAAAATCCTTTGATCTATTGTCTACTGAGAAACACACTAAAAGTCATATGCAGAATACTCCCGGAAGAGCGATAAGTTTAGGCCTGATGATCAGAATGCTGCAAAATATATCCACTTGAATGTAAAAACTGTTCGATGTCTGGGTGTCCCCGTAGATGGTCTACATGTCGACGGTATATAATGGCCAGAAAAGGCGCAATTGGCAGATATCAGTTCCATCAAAGTTCCAATAGCTAACACCGATCAGAACGATATCAGCGCTCAGAGCGGTTGCTGCTGCTAACAAAGTTCTATCCTTCAATCTAAGACAGGAAGAGCCATAGTTTAACGGGCTTCTATGGTCTCTGCTGACCTTGATTAGCTATCCCACTGGCACTGCCCACATATCTCGCTTCAAGCGACGTTTTTTTTTTTTTGGCCCTGCCTATCCTTCCAACCCTTCTCGAACTTTTTGGTAATGTTCGGCATCACTTATGTCGCTGCCAAATGCAATTTCAATTGCGGCTCGGCTGCAAGTTGGTTTTGTATATGGCCGATCTGTCCGACGTCGTCCGGCCAGTTCTCCCCGGTTGGTGAATCTGGGAGAAAGGGTCAGAGGGGCACATCGGACATCTCCTGACTCGGCTCGGCATAACATCCATCACGATTCAACCCAAGCTAGAGTCGGATTTCCTTGCAACAGCTTGATAGAAATATTAGCTTGAGCATTGTACATCTAGAGAATAGCCCAAGTTGTAAGTGGCGGAGTCGAGGACCATGTTCTTATAGCAGCATCCTAGCGCAGCAATAATAATTAGGGGCTGTTCATGCTATGTTACAGAAGGTACTAGAAATTTCTAAAAAAAAAACCCCCCTTATAGTGCCATTTTATTAACTTGTAGATAAATCTTCATAGGGACTTCAGTGCAGTAAACGCCAGTGAGCGATGATGCTAGAATGCCCATTTAGCTCTTGACCATCTACCGGGCAGATGATAATGCTCCTATCCGAGGCGTGCCGAAGGTGGTGGCGACGTAGATGTTTCTCCAAGACCCTTCGATTGTAGAATTCTTTCAGACGCCTCTGCGTCGAAAGTGCTTTATCCCTGAAGCAGATGAAGCACTGCAGATGTCGGGGCCACGAGCGAGAATCCTTCTCCTCAATCGCCTGTACTCCTGAGTGCACCATCAATCGGTTAGTTCGACTGGGTTGTCTCTGTGCCTTCTCCAATGTACGACTCAAGACCTCTGAGCAGCTTGAGTGGGTTTCTCGAGCTCCGCTCAGAGCGGCCAGTGCAGCGATTGCGCGTGTTATCCGATGTACCTCTTTCTCGGAAGTCGGTTCAGGAAGCGTGAAAAGTGTCTGAAATACTCGGGCTCTGTGCGGAGGGAGATTCGCATCCGAAGCTTGCGCAGGGATGTCGATCGGTTGTTCACGGAGCTGGTCCTGGATATCCGCAATGGCTTGGTGTCTATCAAAATCCTTCTTGATCTTCTCGAGCAGCGCTTGCTTCCGCCGTCTTTTTTCTCTCTGGTAGGCGAGTGTAGCGTTGCGCCTGGCGCTTTGAAGGTTCAAAAGCGCTCTCGGAGAGACTCTCATACCCTTCGCCTTTATCAGGCTTTGGATTATCTCGTCCCTTTTACTGTGCAGTCCAGCTACTCTCGGGTGCCTCTCGATACTCGCTGACTGCGCGGCGGTGAGCTTCCGTGGCCGTCGTGGATCTATCGAACGACGCATGCCGCTTGCCGCCCGCATCACAGCCGACTGAGGTGCCGTCCCTCGGTAGGCGGCTTGCGTGTCTACGTTAATATACCGTGGGAGGTAATGTCTCTGGAAGACCTCTGACTTGGAATGCTGCATGATCATGTTTCGTAAGGAGTCGGTAATCTCGTCTGATACGAAGCCTCGTCAGCATTATTTGCTTTAATTGGTAAGAAAGCGTGGCTGTGTTTTTTTTTCTTTGTAAGACAATGAAGGAAGCACGTACTGCAGCTGTCGAACGCTTTTCCAGCGGCGTATCGGAGAACATACAGGTGACAGATTTTCTCCATGCCGGTCACCTCTCCGAGCTTCCTGAACCAAGGGCGGACCGTGCTGTCGGGAAGAGGCTCTCTCGATATCCTCGTCCCATAAACTGTCTGATGAGACTTACGGAACACATGAAGGTCGAGAACATCTTCTTTCCATGGAACACGAGCCTCCATCAACCCGTCGACTACCCTTAATTTTGATAAGGCTTCAGGCCCAACAAGATCCTGAGCTGCAAACGCTTCATCGCTAAATGCCAGAGCCAAGAAGTACGCGTGTGGAGAGAGCACCAGACACGGGTCGTGCCTAATTTGCGGTATAGCGAAAGTATTACTGACGAATGTGAGCCGCAAGCTTAGAAAGTAGTTACTCGAACATCTCCGTACCTGTCTTTTGCACCGAGATACCCTTTGGTGTACTCGTAACTTAGATCAATCAGGACAATAGGCTGCTCTCCGCCCACTGGGTCCCGGAGAAGAGTAACCCGCACGTCGCGATAGCGGAGAGCCAGCAGCGCTCCCGGTCTACTACCTGTAA